GGTGACCACTGTCCATTGTTCCCATTCTACAGAGGAAACAGATTTAAAGATTTAATCACTTGCCTAGGGCCCTTCCTAGTGGTGCAAGGACACAGCACTATAAAGCTCTCTGCAACCACTACAGCATGAGTTGGATCCCCAGCCAGGGAGCTGACCCACATGGCACAGCAGACCTCTCCCATCTCGCCTGCTGCTCCTCAGCCCGTCTGCCTGTTCTGTCCCCACTCTGTCTCTGGTGAGTCCTCTCACTCCCCATATCTCTGGCCTGCACTCCAGTTCTTGTATGCACAAATACTTTTTAAAAAATATATATATTTATTTTTTTAAACGATCCATTTATTTATGCATACAGACCTGGGGGGTGCAAGCCAGAGGTGCAGGGGTGGTGAGAGGAGTCACCAGAGACAGAGTGGGGAGCAACAGGCAGACTGACAAAGCACACTGCGAGGGGAGCAGCGGGCGGGTCAGGAGAGGTCTGCGGCGCCATGTGGGCCACACCCCTGGCCGGGGACCAAACTCCCACTGAAGAGACAGTGGCTAGTGCATAGTGCTGTGCTTTAACCCATTGCACAACCAGGGAGGGCCCCGCAAATGAATCTTTATAAAAATAGAAGAGTATTCGTACGCCTTTAAAAAATTAGTACTGTGTCTACACAGTGAGCTCAGAGCAGACTCAGAACCAAAGTTTGAGGGTCCTGATTTCTAACCTCTGGTATAAGATTGCAGCTGCACAGCAACAGATTTGCTCTTAAGGGCCTGATTGACAACTGTGCGCCAGGCACTGAGACTTCCCATAGGCTGGCCGGAAGCTCTGCGCAGGGAGCTAACAGACGGAACTCGGACAACTCTTGCCCCCCCAAATTGCATGCTTCTGTCATGGACATCACTGCTCCCTCCCTGCTTAGGCATCTGGGCCAGTAGGTGTTTTGCTGTTGGCCAGCTGTGTTGTTCGCTCCTTATCTCCACAAAACTCTCTTTTCATAATATTATTTACTGTAAAAGCAGCAATATAATGCCAGCACAGAACATTTGAAAAATCACTCTGACTCTCAATCTCTCCATCCTAGCCAGCAGCTGTTTGAGTTTTTCTGTCTTCTTCAAATCTCTGCCCATATGCCCACAGTACACATTTTTACACTTTTGTTCTTGGGATGTGAAAGCATTATGTCTTCTACTTCCTGTGCTTGGTGTTGCTACATGTGTTATCTTGTTTATAATTATGTTTATTGGCAGTGGAAGCCCATCGAATGTCTCCATACTGCTGAACTATTTATTTCCAGATCTCTATTTTTTGTAAATAATACTGCAGGGGAATACGGTGTTTATGATGGATTCCCCTGGGTTATTTCTTTAGGATAGGACGTAATGGCTGAAGAAAGGGCTTTGACATAGATTGATTTCAAAAATGTTTGCACTAATTTAAACTACTACCAGGGTGTCACCTTAGTGCACACGTATTTCTCCATTGAGTACAGCTGGCTGGCTCACAGCATCTTCTGTAACTCTCACACTTGCCCTTCCAGGTAGGGCTCATAATCTCCATTTTTCAAGTCAAGGAACTTGATGTTGGAAGGGGATTAAGTAACTTGCCTAGACTCACAGAAAGATTGACGATGGAGGTAGGATTTGAACTCTGTGGGGCTGACCCCAGTCCTACAAAGAAGCAGTGGAATGTTCCAGAATTACTGCATCCTTATTGGTATATTAAAATCAGTGTATGTGGTCTACTTTACAGATGTTAATTATC